AAAACAAAATCGATTTAAATAAACATTAAATTTGTTTAGGTATTTTTATTTTTCAACTAAGTAATTTTCGGTTATGTTGGCAATCCTAGTAGAAAATAACGTTGCAACGCTGCAACTAGTCGCCGCAATAAAGTCGCCGCGAGAAATTGCACCGTCAGACATGGACTTAAAATTGCGATGATAGACCTCTTAATATTAATATTATGGACTCAAACTTTCACCATAATTTTTTTGTCACTCCAAACAATATTTTCGATAAAGGTACTTTACAAAAAAAATAGTCGAATTTTTTGGCCCAGTCTAATGTTTATACATTAAAATTTTTGTTTTGGTGTGAGACTTTTAGAGATTTAAGAGACCAGGAATCAGTAGCGCCCGATCTACGCGCAGGTTTAGACAACCGGCCGCCACTGCCAGGATTAATTTTATGAAAGTTCAAAGATGCCCACATAAACCAGATTTTTTCCTTTATAGATTTTATCGCATACCCAAGTACTAATATAATTGATAGGCATTAAAGCACACTCTATTATGATTGTTCTTAAATGGTTTATCTAATAACGGTGTTTATATGATTCCAATGCAGTATATCTTGTAACTGACTTTGTCGTAAATAAAGTATTATTATTATCTTAAGGATTTTATAAAGAGTTAACGTAAATGTGCCAATACTAGAGATGTATAGTAATAAATTTCATTAAAAATTACAAAAAAATATAAATACATTGAACAAAAGTCCTGCAAACCATAGACATACTTGAAAATTCATAAGGAATTGCGTAAATGATAGGAAATCGCATAAAATGCAAATAACTAATTGTTTCTTATGCTCTATTTGATTTAACGCTGTTTTTACCACGAACCCATTAAAACTGTTTCTCTAAAATGACCACATCAATGGTCTCGTATATATCGTACACTCAGTGGCGTATCGGGTATTTTTTTCTGGGTGGGGAGAAACAACAGTAAAAGTATAAAATTTAATGAACATTTAATGGAAGATTTTGTTCTAAATCAGATGCATGTTGAATATACCAATTTGTTTTAGGTATCCAAACAAAAAATATATAATTTTTTCTTGTAGATGAGGTTTTTAAAATGATTGTTTCTGAAATTAACTGTTTGTAAAAATTAAAAAACGAGCTCGTTGGATACGCCACTACAACTTGGTTGCTTACGATTTAACTGTTTAAATGCGGCAATAAACCTATTTAGTTTGTGTTTACAACAATATTTACGGACGTAAATATCGTTTCGCATGTTCCCACAAATTAAAGTAGTTGGTACTTTTAAATTCTATAGAATTTTGTGTTCCCCTTCATTAATGAACTCAAACGGAAGCAAGCAATTTTTATTAACTTGTTATTAGGATAATAAATAATTTTTATGCATTGATCCTACATAAACAAAACTAAAACAAATTAAAATTTAAAGAAATAATAAAATTATATACTTTTATGTATACATATTATAATATGTCAGACAAGTCTTGTCTATGACCATATATAAATACATATATGGGTGATTCTACAAAAGTTGGGCAACTTTTGACCTAATTTTGTTTATATAGATTTCGGAAAAAATTAAACAGTATTTTGTTATGAGAACATAGATAATATAATAAATATACCGTTCCAGACCGGGCCAGTCACTTTTTCAAACAGTTTCTGAAATATCTGTGTTTTCTAAATTTGAATGCAAGGGAAGTGACGAGTATACCAGGGTACTAATTAAATACATAATTTATTGGAAAATAGATTTATTGCAACTTTAAGCATATTATACATTAAATATCGTAAAATCAAATAATACCACACATCAGTGGCGGCTGGTGGATTTTGGGTATACCGATATCTCAATTATTAGATATGGGACCCACACCAAATTTATGAGTTTATAATTACATGAAATAAACAAGTTCTGCGCAAGCAGAATTTAAATTGATGTTTCGAAAAAAGTTAACCGAAACATCGAACATGGAACTAACGACACGGTATTGATAAATGGGATACAAATTTGAGATTATAATTTGGAATTAAGTATTTTACTGATATTTTTTATTAGTGAATGCTACTTATCAACAAATCACATATAGCCTTATATAAATTACAATGAAATACATATATATATATATATATATATATATATATATATATATATATATATATATATATACGTAAGAAAATAACTACACACCACAGTACTGAAATTTTGACTGGAACTATACGTGCATTCACCACAACTTCGCCGCTTGCATTGTTTTCAAGATGACTGTCGTGCAAAGGGCGGGCTCTGTAGGTAATTTTTTACCAACACTTGAGTTAAAACCAGGACTTAACTTTTAAACTTCATAATTTTGCAGGAATTTTGAATTTTAACATTGGACACAGAACTGACGGGTAAAAGTGAGTACAAAGATGATCAATTTTTTAAAAATTGCTATTATTCGAATCTATGATAAAATATGAAAAATACATTATTTAATGTTTTATAGTTTGTAGTGAAATTGAAAAACTTAAGATAAATTGAATATATTTTAAAATAAAATCACTCAAATATTTGATTTAGGAGTTGTGACACGCCAAGGTACTGATGTTTTGAATATTTATTATGTTTTTCTACAAAGGTGCTTTTGAAAAAATACATTAAAATTGGGTGTACAAGTTAAAAAAACCTGGATCTTTTGTAATATACTAAAATATTTACAAAAAAAATTAAAATACCTACTCTATTGACTAATGACATCAAGTTGTCCAACGTTTGTAGAATCACCCATATGTAGGTATGGTAGATACGTCAGAATCAAAATGTACATATATGTTATCGACAACCGTGAGTTTGCTCCCAACTATCAGTTATAGTCTATACGTATACGTATATGCTTTAACTTCTTTGTAGCTTTGTATACAAAGCTACAAACAAGTTAAATAATAATAGTTTGTATAGTTACTACTATAGTTGTAAAAATAAAAGAGTTAGTAAAGGTTTCGGTATCCATTTTAACTAATATAACCCCGTTTCTATATTTAGACCAGAAATTATGTTAAACATTTTTAGAATTCAACCCGACTTTAATTTTGACTTCCTAGATATTAGATCATTCTAATTTGTAACTCCGCTGATGCGTTCGTTTGAAATTTACACGTTGTATACCTACCTATTTATTTTTGTATACTTTAAGTTGTTCTAACTTTAAAGCAATTTTTCTTTGAAATTGTACTTTTTTAATGTTTCGATGATTCAGAAATATTGCAACAAAAGAAAGCAATATTTCCGAAAATATCACATTTAGCATGAAACAATGATACCTACTTACAATGTAAGCCTTACATTTCTAATGCAAGTTGGCGTAGCATTATACAATAAACAACTGCATTAAACAATCGAGTAACCACGTAATTTTTTATTAGTTTATTTGCAATAAAAAAAGGTTAATAAAAGGGCACTGGATAATTGCATTCATAAAATTGGCCAATTTAAAGCGAATTACCATATAAAATTCCTGTTTATTGTGGAAACATCTTATAAGCGTATGTGGGATATTCACAAAGAAAATAATTATGTTTTGCATAAAATTTTAATTTAAATTAATTGGTTCGTATCATTAACATTTAACTAAAAATAAATCTTGTTTGGAAATGGCGACAGTGTAAATCCAATTTTTAACGTCTGCTGAAATATTATCACTTTTTACTGGATTTCGTAGCCTGAAGCTTTTATAAATAGAAAACTTATATTGATCTTGATATCCACCCCATCAAATATGTACTTTTAATGCGCCACATTACCTAGGTACACATTTTATGCAAATGTTGTCCCTATTTTCGGCACCATAACTTTATAATATGTCTATAGCCATATGATCTTATAAGATATAAGTTGCGTAATAGTTGGAAGCACGAATGTATAGATATTATAAGAAAAGTATAAATATAAAATGTACGTAAATTAATTTATATATAAAATGTATGTAAATTAATTTGGATATACATATAACAAAATTTTAAAACCATTTAAAATTATTAACATTTTAATGTATTTTTTTATAAAGAAAGTAATAGAATTATAACACATACCTGTATACTGTATATATACAATACAATTTTTTACATTTTATAATTAATAGGCTAATAAACCAAAAATTTAACACATACCTACCTATTTAAATGTACATCAAAGATTAAATATACTTTGCCCACATATGTAAAAACCATAAACTATAATTTAAATAAGTAGTTTAAACATACATAATATGTACATATATGGGTTAATTACATAATAATAATTAAAATGATAACAAATACAACCGCTTATAAGCGTAAGTTATAACCATGTCTGTAAAATAGTAAAAACCCGTCCTAAAACCGTCTAAAATGAAAATTTATAATACCTAGGTACCTACAGAATATAAAAAAGTTGGATTAAAAATTGCATTCTTCTTGAATATACATTTTATCATATTTTTCCTTTTTAAAACCGCTAAGCTAATGTTAATTAGGTAGTTAGTGATAATCAATTTATTTAGTTGACCTTAGGCTAAGGTCCTTAGCATATATTTGTTAAAAACAAACAAAAATAAGAATTTAGATAATAGGCAGTAGGTAATTTAACAACAAGAAATTTAACAAAATTAAGTAATAGAAAAATCTTACCTCGTGATTGTGATAATTTTCTTTAACATTTTACCGAATTCCGACAATAAATTTTTTTTTCCTTTATCACTCTACACAAAACAAACTATTTGTTCTCCCCCATACAATTTTTCTACTTAAATCATATAGGTAAATTTAAACGTTAAAAAAATCGATTTTCTATTGATTTTGACAGTAACTGTTATCCTCATAAAAATTAAACAAAAAACAACCACCATCCATGGCGACTTGACCTGCGCCATATACCTATGCATATGTCATAACATTTCCATTGCCATCTTGTAAAAATAAAAAAATTAAGCATTTTTTTCTTTTTTTAGAGTTTCCTTCGGAAGTTCTAAGGGTTCCATGGTGGAAACTTTAATTTTCGAAAGTCCAGTACAAGAGGAGCCCGAATCGAGTCCTATACCGGAAAATGGCGATATTAATCCGTTCCCGGAGGATCAGGACCAGACTGAGTAAGTGCAATTTTAATATTAAACAGAAAACCGCATTGTTTATGTGTTAAAAACTCGTCCCGTTGTTCTTGTAGAATGTAAAGCATTAAAATAGGTATGATACTCGCGCGTTTAGTCTTACATACATTAAACTTGTAAATATTAAACCAGTTTTAATTACTATCTGTACTTTTATATCAGGTGAGTTATGGCTTTATAAATGGAAATAATTTAACAAGAATTTCTTGTCTTCGCGACTGCAAGCAATCAGTTCGCTTTATTAACGTTAAACATCGGCAAATGTATCGTATAATTGGACACCTGTTCGATGCTAAGAAAATATTAACCGTTTAAGTAATCAATTTATATGAAATACCTAGGTACATTTTTTTAATTAACTTACTTTTATGAAGAGTTGTAGAGTAATTTGAACAAAACACACAGAATCATCTGTCAGTTTTTAAAACAACTAAAATCGACAATGTTGCCAGCTTTATCACCAAAACAATTAATACTTTATTAAAAACCGTTTAATACAATTTAATACATGTTTTATCTTAACACCATAAATTTTTTCTAATTATTACAATAAAATCTTAAACACGACTTTTAAAGGTTTATTTATTAATAGAGAGTTTTTTTGTGACTAGGCAACATGGTGTAGTTCTTTTGGCAGCGTTCTTTCGCAGCGTTCTTCTGTTGTTGACAATTGGCGCCTCTCGTGGAATATTGATGAACTAAATTTGTAACCTATGCGATGTTGCCGATGTGACTTCTTTTAAAATTTGTGTTTTTTTACATTTAGGTATATCTTGAAATACAATGGATGTCATATGTATATTATACTATGAAATTTGTAGAAAATTGAGAAAATGATAGGGGATTGCGGTAAATAAATGAAAATGTGTTATTTTTTAAGCGCGTTCAAAAAAGTTTAAGGGAGTTTTTTTAAATAAAATATACAAAAAACCACTTTTATAAATTTTTTGATTTATATACAAATAAACATTGTTTTTGAGATTGCATAAAAAATGAACTCATTACTTTTAATAATATTATGTTTATAGATAGATTTTATTAGCTGGCCGTGCCACTAGGTATATTTTGGACATACCTATCTCATAAAAATCTAATAAATTATTACTTAGAAATAATTGTTGCTATGGAAACAATTGAAATAAGACAGCAAGTTGACATGTTTAACAGATACATATTTTATGACATTTTGTGTAAAAAAATAAACGAAATGAAGGTATCAGTTTTTCATTATTAATATATTTTTTTAACGTGATTTAAAGTGTTTTAAATTTAAAAAATAAAGTCTTGCTAAAAATTATTTTTTTAAACTTAAAGCGTTGATTTCTTAAAGTAAATTTCTCTATCATGATGAAGTGCACTTGGTATAGTTTACCTAGTTAATTTTGAGATTATGAATTCATAAAATAACTAAATTATGTATTTTTGAATATTTTTTGGAATTGCGAAATATAATATATATATATATAAATGTGTTTAAATGTTTTTAAAAATATTCAAAAAACACACACCTAATTTAGTTATTTCCTAAAATTATCCAAATCTCTTAAAAATCCTCCACTTAATTTTCCCCCATTCCGTTACTTCAAAGTCTACGTGGCAACTGCGCCGTGTTCGAGGCGTGGCGAAAATCAGCGTGTTGCGTCTGAAGCGAAGTTAACCTAAAGTCCGCGAGCGAACCTTCATGGCCATCCCGCGTTGAAAAACCGCGTAAGTCTCGCGTTTGAGTTCCCCATCGTGAACGAAAAGTGACAGTGCTCCTACACCTGTTCGTGGCAAAAAGTCCTCCGAAAAAAGTTCTAGTGCTGCGAAGTGTGAAACAAAAGTTATTTAGGTGCGTATCCAAGGCAAACAAAAGCCGAATACGTGCGTTTTAATCGATACTGTTTTGAAAGGGGTTGAATTTTTGAGGTTTTAACGCTATTTAGGTGAAAGTTTGAGGTTATTTAATCGATAATCTTATGTTTGGGTTGCTATAGTGGCACAGCCAGCTAATAAAATCCATCTATAAACATAATATTATTAAAAGTAATGACTTCATTTTTTATGCAATCGCAAAAACAATGTTTATTTGTAAATACCTACAGCATAAAAACACAAAATAAACCATATGGACAAATGTTGTTAAATTTATTCCGATTTACACTGTTAATAGGTAGTTAATTATTGCAATTATTTGTTTCCTTTTTTGAGTCATTTCTTCTTAAAACATCTAAATTGGACAGTTAATAAGGATGTTCACTTCAAACAAAGTAATAATGTTAATATATGCCATAAACCTGTGTAATCTCATGTAATAGTATTTAATTATGTAGCTAAATAAGCTTATATAATCTCGTATTAACATCGTGAATTTATTGAATTTTTTTTAACTACCTAGGTGGATAAATAAAACTTGCTGAACTTGACACAACTATGAAGAAATTTAATTAAATTTAACCACCTGTTCTTTGTTGGGAACTATATCCATTTAACTCGGTTAGTGGTAGATAAAAAATGAATAAACAATAAGAAAATAACAGGAAATTAATCTAAGTATTTGATAAAAAATGGTAAATTTGAGGTTTTATTAACTGATTACAAATTCTTCTTTTTTGATGATTTGAATGTTTTATTTAAATAATTTTTCAAATTTTTAGCTTATTTACCTACTTGATAAAATAAACATGGCACCATTTTTAATATAAATATTTCTAAAAATAGATACCTAGATAGATTCATAAAATTCCTAAAATTTTTCTAATGTGAAATTTAACCTATTTTAAATTTACTGCGTTAGAGATGAAATAAAAAAGCAACTAAGCATTTTTTTAATGTTCCTATACCCTTTTATGTCGCTCTGTTAAAACCATTTTGGCCTGGCATTGACCTACATGGCAAAATTATTTGTTTTATTACTTATTATTCAGGTAAAGGTATAGTTAAAAAAAGTAAATAAATGAAAAGACAATTTACCAAATTTACTTAAAATTTAACCTAGGGACAGTGTTTTTGTTAATTTTGGGATCTTTGGGTTAGAAAATTTTAAACACAATTTATTTTTAGTTAAACCAATAAAGATGGATTTATATTAGCTGTAGTGTTGCTGTTCTCGGACAGTGTTGCCATATTTTAAAATATTGGTCTAAACTTCATCTACCTAGATTTATGACCCATTTAACCTAAACGACCATCAATAACATTAGCCAATAAATTTTATTAAGATTTCTTTTGATTAATAAAACAAATTTAGTGTGTATATCATAGGTTAACCATATGGTTAGTCAAGTGTTATTCAGATGTTTCGTAGCGGTTACCCACGCCAATTTGATGATAATAAAAACGGGCTAAAAATGTAACGATGCGTCCTTGATTTTTATGAATTTTACGAACAACATCCTATCACGATTAAAAAAATTCTATAATTTTTGTACTTACGTATAAAATATAGTAATTACCTACTAACTAGGTACCATTCAATATTTTGTGCCTAGGTATTTATATTTACAAACTTTATCATTAACAAAAAATTGATTTTTAATATTACTTTTTCATTCAAAAATAACAACTTGTATGTTTTGTTATCTTTATTTTAAATGCTGACGTCATTTTTTTGAATTTATTAAGGTTATACCTAACCTTGTTCCGTAATAAAATTAATAAAAGAGGAAATTTTTTTCGTTTAGAGAACTTTAGACCAATGTTTTAAAATTGAGCTTTACTTATTTTAAATAAAGATATTAAATATAGTAATGTCTTTAATTAGGTTTTGGGGCAATTTTTTTAGGATGAATTTAATCGGTCCTGAAAAAACACTTTTATAAAAATCGGGCTTATTGAATTAATTTTTAGACTTATTTGAAATAATTTACTTTTTCTAATAATTAATTCGTATTTTGTAAATTAGTCAGGGTCTCAGATTTTTTTCGTAAAAATTTAGAAGTCAATAGATCTCGCAAATAAGAAAAGTTTTTATGATCCTTTATGTTTTAAAGTTTCGTTTTCGAGATACAGGGTTGTAAACTACGAATTTTATAAAAAAATTCAGGCTTTTAGTAATGGGTAGAGAGCTTAATTAATTGTAATTAAGTTTTACATAGTTAATCCAGAGGCGGCGCTGGGTCCTTACAACTGGATGTTTTAAAATTAAATTTAGTACGCTACTGCTTTTTAAGTTTAATATTATTCTTATATTAAGAAACTAAAAATACAACTTTTTTGTCTCTAAAAATTAAAATATATCTTTTATTTTTATTAAAATATACTGGTCAAAATAACCAAAAATCCATTTCAACTATTATGTCATTTTTGGAATATTTTATAGGTACCTAAATATTTATTTTACTTTATATCACCTTCTACCAGAAAATATTTTAAAGTTAGTTCTACGAATTCTAAGATATTCTTAAATTTTCAAAATTGCATCATTTTTATTTATTGTTCTTAAGTATAAGTTTAAATGCAATTGAATCAGAAGAAAAAGTTTAAATTTAAATTAATTCATGACATTTTTGCACTCGCAAAATTGTATATGTGATTTGGCATGGAATGACCCATATAATATGTATATGAAATGTGTATGTTAAAAATTTGGTATTTTTAACCTTGACTCGTTGAAAGCATTCAACAACTCATCTATTTTTGCCTATTGCGTCTGCAGAAAATTACATTTGGAAAATTGCCTGAACTTTTTCTCTTTATACCTACCATTAATACATTTAACTAGTTTGGATAGTAGAAATTTTGTCAACCATTATTTATTTGCCAGTGCAATATTTTGAACGAGTTATTAACAAACAGTGCATCTCAGTGTATCTGGGAAATTATTATTAGTGACCTATTTTTTACGCACTAACAAGTTTTACTATTTATTCAATGTATATTTATTACATCGTATGATCACAGTAAAACTTTTTACAAATTCAGTATTTTTAGTATCTAGTTGTTAAACATAAGTGGTTAAATGTCGTAAGTACGTTTTAAATTGTTTGTTGTTTTATAGAATTCATCTAAAAATAGCAATATTTAAATGGAAGCTACATTATTTTTGTGGAATTTAAATATATTCACTAAGTAAAACTAAAAAAGACCATTTGTAATATAACTTCCTTTCAGAGGAATTTAAATAAGGATATTTTAGGCAGGACCGTAACGTAACATAAATTTTGGTTTTAAAGTTAAATTTTATGAACATTTTTTTAGGCTAGATTTAATCTGTTTTAGAGAAATTTTAAACAAAAATTGTAAAACGCAGAATTTATCAATATTTTCTCTATTTATTTAAAGATCGGATTTGAATTTAGAACATCAAAAACCGTTCTGTCAAAATTAAATAAGTAAAAAACAAGGTTTTTAATTATTTTGAGTTCGGTCCTGTCCACAGGAATGATTGTCCTTTTTTGTTAAGGTGCAGCAGGAAAAACAAAATGCGGAAGTGAACATCCTGAATAATTTCAGTCAAGTCCGCAGTAATTTTAAGTCAATATAAACAGACTGATAAGAAAATGATTTTGCAAAATATAATTGTAAAAAAAACAAGATGTGGATTATATTTGTTTTGTTGGACAATTGTCCAACAAAACAAATATAATCCACATCTTGTTTTTTTTACAATTATATTTTGCAAAATCATTTTCTTATCAGTCTGTTTATATTGACTTAAAATCATTTAAATGACATTTAGACTATTTAAACTTCAAAATGCGACATTTGTGTTATGAACAAAAACAAATGACATACGCGGGTCATTTTGAAATGACATAAACTGTGACATAAGGGTAGGGTTGCAACTTTTCATGAAAAGTTGAAATTTTTGTAAAGTTGGGTTTTATTTTTCGGAAAAGTTCGGAAAAGTTGGAAAAGATGGAAAAGTTGAGTTTTTTGTAATGTAAACGTATAAAACATAAATAATGCTTGTCAATGTATTAAAATAATTTATTTCTTATGTATTTATACATACGTATACGTTATAAGAAGTTGTTTTATAGCAAAATAACAAAAAAAATAACAAACAAAATAAAATTAACAGACAACCAGACAACATAATCACAACAAAAATAAACTAGGTTTGAGTTAAAAAAATCATATTTTTTAAGTAGGTACCTAAAAAAGAATAGAAATTTCTACACACCATAAAAAAACACATACGAAATAAAAAATAATTACAAAAAAATATGAAGCAGAAATTATTAAATTTATTGTTGTTAAAAATTATGGAAATTTACAAGTAAAAATTTTAAAAGAAAAACAATCTTTATATAAAAGAAAATGCTGTTATTAGCAGACACCATTTTTGATAAAGTTTGACAAAATGTTATTCCAAAAAACAATGATTTTAGCACGTTTTACTTAAAACACTTCAAATCTAGCGATTTATATCGAATTTTGACCAAATTATCTACCGAAAAAAATGTATGGTAGTGGAAACACTGGTTACAAGTCAACTCATTGTTCATTGGCTCCTACCTAATAACTTTTCCAACTTTTCATAGGGGGTGCCGAACTTTTCCAACTTTTCCAACAACTTTTCGACCGAACTTTTCCCTGTTTGCAACACTACATAAGGGGTCGAAAATTGAATAAAAGATTTCATTTTTAAAATGTAAAATGTAAATTTTTTTTTTTTGGATTTTTCCAGAGCTGAACGCGAAAAAGTGCGCGTCAAGTTTTTCCAGCAGTCCAAACCGCAAGAGGTCGATCTGCCGAATGACCACGACCCTTTTACAGACCCAGCTGACTTTTCCATCATGGCGACGCAAGTGATCATGAACGAATCGAACCATGTGGTTTACAACAGAACTGAAAGGTATTTTTTTCCCTTAAAAAAATGAATGCCCATCACCTTATTATTATCGTTTTTTTTCATGGAGATGTAAAGGAATTTTGGAATCTTCCTCAGTTTAAAAAATGTCAGTTTTCGACGTTTATTATAGAATTTTGTTAGGATTTGACAAATGTCATTATTTTCTTAACAATACAATACATTAATATTAGAACTAATAAAATGCCAGTATTCCATAGTTACGCATTTTATCACAGCGACAATATTTTTTTTCTTCACCCACCTTTAAAACGCCCATTATTGTTCAAACCTTTTAAATAAACAAAAAAAAATTGTGGCTTTATGGAGCTTTAGTCACGGGCTGAAGTTAGTTTTAAGGTAGTTCACAGTTGTCTAATGTCATACAATCATTAAAATGAAGTCCCTTTCTTGTAGAATAATACAAAATATGAAAATTATTTTTTCTACGCTTATTACGGAATTTGACAGTTCTTATATGACTTTTTAATCTGGAATTACGTATATTCCATAAAGTGTTACAGAATAATTATTCCGCACATGTTCTAATGATGGAATGAGCACTGGGGGCGACATCTCTATGTTTATTTTATAACTCACTTGTATTCCTACCAAATCTAGTTTTTTCAGAAAGGCCCGGTAGAAAATATTAATCGGTAGTGTATACAATAGGATTTAAAACAGTTTGCGTTAATAAAAATACCCAAAATATATCTTCTTTACAAGCTAGTTGTAATTCTGTTAGGCCGATTTAGTAGGATCCTATTAGAATATTTAGGTTTGACTTAGTCCCAAAGAGATGGCAGCACTGGTTAATTGTTTACGTCTGTCATTAGTTAATTCAAAATTTGAAATTCAAATAATAACTTATTTGTCATTCCTTACAATTTGTCCATTTCTTCTTTATACTTCCTAATTTAGGTTCTGCAAAATTATGTAAGTAATTTTTATAAGCTTATTTAAAAATTATCTTATTTACTACCATCATAAAATCTAACATCTGTCAAAAGATAACCTAACTTTTTTCCAATTAAATTATTTCTCTGGTATTTTTTATAAGCGTAGAAAAAGTATAGTCTGAAACACGTTTGGAATTGCATATTCCACTCTCGTGAAACCGTCACACTCGCCTTCGGCTCGTGTGACAAACTTTTCACTCGAGCGGAATATGCTGTATTCCAAACTTGTTACAGAATATACTATTATTATCTCAATACCAACAATTTTAATCGAAAGAAGGCGAAAATTAGCGAATTAGTCTATTAACTATATTATTATACCTACTACAATGTACAAAAAAATTATTATTTAATAATCCCATTTGTGTAGGACTTTTTAACAAATTAATGTTTAATTATTATAATTTTTGTATCAAGTAACATATGGGTGATTCTACAAAAGTTGGGCAACTTTTCACCTCATTTTGTTTATATAGTTTTCGGGGAAAATTAAACAGTATTTTGTTATGAGAACATAGATAATATAATAAATATACTGTTCCAGACCGGACCAGTCACTTTTTCAAACAGTTTCTGAAATATCTGTTTTCTAAATTTAAATGCAAGGGAAGTGACGAGTATACCAGGGTACTAATATAATTTAAATAAAATATAAGATTTATTGCCACTTTGAGCATATTATACATTAAATATCATAAAATCAAATAATACCACACATCAGTTGCGGCTGGTGGATTTTGGGTATACCGATATCTTAATTATTATACCCACACCAAATTTATATGAGTTTATAATGACATTAAATAAACAAGTTCTGCGCAAGCAGAATTTAAATTGAAGTTTGCGAAAAAAAGATAACCGAAACATCGATCATGGAACTGACGACACGGTACTAATGAATGGGATACAAATTTGAGATTATAATTCGGAATTTAGTATTTTACTGATATTTTTTATTACTGGATGCTACTTATCAACAAATCACATATAGCCTTATATAAATTACAATAAAATATATGTATATACGTAAGAAAATAAGTACTCACCACAGTACTGAAATTTTGACTGGAACTATACGTGCATTCACCACAACTTGCCGCTTGCATTGTTTTCAAGATGACTGTCGTGCAAAGTTAAAACGAGGACTTGACGTTTAAACTTCAATATTTCGAAGGAATTTTGAATTTTAACATTGGACACAGAACTGACGGGTAAAAGTTAGTACAATGATTATCAATTTTTTAAAAATTGCTATTATTCGAATCTGATAAAATATGAAAAACACATTATTTAATGTTTTATAGTTTGTAGTGAAATTGAAAAATTTAAGATAAATTGAATATATTTTAAAATAAAATCACTCAAATATTTGATTCAGGAGTTGTGACACGCCAAGGTACTGATGTTTTGAATATTTATTATGCTTTTCTACAAACGTGCTTTTGAAAAAATACATTAAAATTGGGTGGACAAGTTAAAAAAACCTGTATCTTTTGTAATAATATTATAAAAGATACAGTTTTTTTAACTTAGTATATTATACTAAAATATATTTTGTATATTATACTAAAATATTTACAAAAAATATTAAAATACCTTCTCTACTGACTGATGACATCAAGTTGTCCAACTTTTGTACAATCACCCATATATCATTTATGTTATAAACACTAGGAGGTTTAAGTAATATTTTACATTTTTTATTTTACACGCATTATTTTTAACACAAATTTTATATATTCTTAACTGTGTACAAATAATTAATTTAAATAAGTTTTTAGATATTAAGTATTTGGCGTAGAAAATGTCTGTGGGTAAAAGGCATAAGGGGATAAGTCAAAAAAAGCAATTTTTCGATAGAGGCTTAAATTTGTTCCCATCAATTCAGGAAATATATGACATTTGCTGGCAAAGCTAAAAAATTGACTTTTTTGACTTATCCCCTTATGCCTTTTACCCACAGAAGTATAGTATGCAACTCGTTTATAAACTTTTCTAGGAACTCATTTAATTAAGCACTCGCTTGCAAGCTCGCCCCTGCCTAAATTAAATTCGTGACTAAATGGCGTTTATCAAACTTGAAACATAATATACTAATATCAACTTGTTTACACGTTACTAAGGATTTTGACACTTTTTTTAATTTGACATTTAAATCCTGTGTTTGTTATATGAATAAAATAATGAATTATAAACTCTAAAAGATCGATGGGTTGGTGTAAACAATAATAAAATTAAGGCAGGTTTGAATAAATAAGGTTTATTGAAGTCTTTTTATACAGGGTGTTATGTAATTAATGTTATATATTAAAATACTGAATACCTTTTGATATAAAGAATAAAGAAAAAATATTTAAAAAAATATTTTTCCATAGATAAAGAAAAAATATGCATTAGAAGTTTTTTATATTTTTTGTGATACGCCACTGGTTACACACTTGGTTTATCTCTGCAAACTTGAATTCTGTGAGTACATAGATACCAACCAACAAAGTAGCTACGCGTTGCCAGATGTAAAAAATTGTTACTAAAAATTTGTCTTCCAAAAAATAAATAAAAACTCAATATATACAAAAGTTTTATGCCCTTAAAGCTCTAACACCCTTCTGTATTTATTTACTCATCCAGCTATTAGCTTAAGCAATGATTAGAAAATTTAGTACCTATTTATAAAAATCCATAACCACAAAATTAATTTTTCATCAGTTTTTTTCTTTCTGTTTACTCAGATGAAATTGGGACCAGTTCACAGGTTAAACTTTAAACATTTAATTTGTGTAAATAAATCCAAAAGCACTTCCCTTAGTTAAGATATTTATAATTTGAGCACATAACCTAAAATTTGAAAGAAATGCACTAGATTCTGCCATAAAAGTTGGCAGATTTTGTTTGAATTTACCTTCAGTACAAAAATGACATAACCAACAATTAATAAAAACGCCAAATTGACAATTTGCATTGTTAATTTTGTCATTTTTGCAATTAAGCTAAATTTAAACAATGTTTGTTAACTTTTTTGACAGATTTTGGAAACCATGTTGTTACCAACCATAACATAATAAATTAACCAGATTAGCCTAAAGTTCCTAGTCGATCAGTGGCGTACTTTTTGGTAGGATAAAGGTTATTATAAATTATTTTTAGACTTTGGAATTTAGAAGAAAAAAGTTTCAGGTGCTTCTTTATGGACCCTAAGGAACAACCCATTTTAATATATAACATTAATTACATAACACCCTGTATTTAAAGCACATTTTAATTTTAAATGTCAAACTGACAATTCGTTAAATCCTAAAATTCTTTTTATTTTTTCTCAATAAATATTACTCGTGGTAGGGTTAATATTCGATTATATTTTTGAATTGAAACCGAGGCAGCACATTTTACTCGTCCTGCGGTCTCGTGAAATCTGCAGCTAGGTTTCAATTCGAAAATATCATCGATGATAATCATACCACTTGTTATTATGGTTGAAAATAATGTACAGTAGTAGGTTATAATAATGTTTTGATTGATAAAAACATTATTAACACATGACGGTATTTAGAAACGTCAAAAATAATCCTATACAAATATTTGGATGGATAGGTACAATAATACCAATTGCAATGTAATGCAACAAATAAGTTAGAATTTATAACGTGTATAAAACAGGTCGTTGACATTTCTGCTAGCAAACGATGTGACGTGGCGGCCTGGCGTGGCGTAATTTCAATGAGTAGCTACGAACGAGCATCTCTGGCATTTGTCCACGACTTTGAAACCGATTTGCCGGTTTTTTTTGCACCACGCCGCGCCGGACGACTTGATACGTTCGCCGTTCGGATCGTACAAGTTGCCGCCGCTGCACATAAGGCCGAATGTCTAAATTAGCGCGCCAAAAATATTAAATAGGATTTTATGTGATATTATATATAAATTATGATTAGAAATCCTTATGAGGGTCCTACTTAATCCTTATCTTTTAGAAAAATGCATAACATAGGTTAGTTTGGCTAATAAAAAGAAAACAATTGCATATTTAATTAATGGTGTATTTTAAATTAA